CGGTGACGCCGCTCTCCGCCGCCGGCAAAGCCTTCTGCGCCGCCTACGCCGCCGTGGGGGTCCCGGCCACCATGTTCCTCCTGGCGGCCACCGCGCGTCGCCTGGCCGTGCCGCTGGCCCGGCGGCCCCGTGGCTACCTACAGGCGCGGTGGGGCTACAGCCGGCGCGGCGCTGCCCGCGCCCACCTCCTGGGCCTCCTGGCCGTCACCCTGGTGCTCCTGGTGCTCCTGCCAGCCACTGCCTTCTACTTGCTGGAGGCCACCTGGAGCTACCTGGACGCCGTCTATTTCTGCGTCATCTCGCTCTGCACCGTCGGTTTCGGTGACCTGGTGCCGGCCCGGCAGGCGCGGCAGCCGTTGAGGCAGCTCTACCAAGGATGGGATGGGTTGAGTTGGGTTTGGGATGGTTTGGGTTGGGTTTGGTATGGGTTGTGTTTTTGGGGTTTGGATGGGTTTTGGATGGGTTGGGGTTTGGGATGGGTTGGGTTGAGTTTTGGATGGGTTGGATTGAGTTTTGGATAGGTTGGGTTGGATTTGGGATGGGATGGGATGGGTTGAGTTGGGTTTGGGATGGGTTGGGTTGTGTTTTTTGGGTTTGGGTGGGTTTTGGTTGAGTTTAGTTAGATTTTGGATGGGTTGGGTTGGGTTTTTTGGGTTTGGGTGGGTTTTGGTTGAGTTTAGTTAGATTTTGGATGGGTTGGGTTTTTGAAATTTTGTTGGGTTCTGAATGGGTTGAGTTGGGTTTTGGGGTTCTGGTTGGGTTTATTGGGTCTTGTTGGGTTTTGGTTGGGTTGGGTTGAGTTCCCATGGGTTGAGGTTGGTTTTTGATGGTTCCTTGGGTTCCAGTGGGTTCCGTTGGGTTCTGTCAGGTTCCATTGGGTTCTGTCAGGTTCCGTTGGGTTCTGTCAGGTTCCATTGGGTTCTGTCAGATTCTATTGGGTCCCGTTGGGTTTCATTTGGCTCCATTGGGTTGAGTTGGGTTTTTGATGGCTCATTGGGTCCCGTTGGGTTCTGTCGTGTCCTGTTGGGTTCCGTCATGTCCCGTTGGGTTCCGTCATGTCCTGTTGGGTTCTGTTGGGTCCCATTGCATTCCGTTGGGTTCCATTGCGTTCCATTGTGTCCTGTTGGGTTCTGTTGGGTCCCATTGCATGCCGTCGGGTTCCATTGCGTTCCGTCGTGTCCTGTTGGGTTCTGTTGGGCTCCAGCATGTCCTGTTTGGTTCCTTTGGGTTCTGTTGGGCTCCATCGGGTCCTGTTTGGTTCCTTTGGGTTCTGTTGGGTTCCGTTGTGGCCTCTTGGGTTCCTTTGGGTTCTGTTAGTTCCCATTGGGTTCCGTTGGTTCCCATTGGCTCCCGTTGGGTTCTGTTGGGTCCCGTTGGATTCCGTTGGTTCCCATTGGCTCCCGTTGGGTTCAGTTGGGTTCCATTGGGTTCCATTGCATTCTGTTGGTTCCCATTGGGTCCTGCTGGGTTCTGTTGGGTCCCGTTGGCTCCCGTTGGGTTCTGTTGGGTCCCATTGGATTCCGTTGGTTCCCATTGGCTCCTGTTGGGTTCCGTTGGTTTCCATTGGCTCCCGTTGGGTTCCATTGGGTTCCGTTGCGTTCTGTTGGTTCCCATTGGGTCTTGCTGGCTTCCTTTGGATTCCGTCACGTCCTGTTGGGTTCCATCATGTCCCGTTGGGTTTTGTTGGGCTCCATCATGGCCTGTTGGGTTTCTTTGGGTGCAATTGGGTTCTGTTGGGTCCCGTTAGGTTTTGTTGAATTCCTTTGTGTTCCATTGGGTCCCGTTGGGTTCTGTTGGGTTCCTTTCGGTTCCATTGAGTCCTCTTGGGTTCTTTTGGGCTCTGTTGGGTCCCATTGGGTTCCTTTGGGTTCTCTTGGGTCCCCTTGGGTTCTGTTGGGTTCCTTTTGGTTCCATTGGGTCCTCTTGTGTTCCTTTGGGCTCCGTTGGTTCCCTTTGGGTTCCTTTGGGTTCTCTTGGGTCCCATTGTCTCCCATTGGGTTCCGCTGGGTTCTCTTGGCTCCTGTTGGGTTCCTTTGGGTTCCGTTGGGTTCTGTTGGGATTCTTTCGAATCCATTGGGTTCCGTTTGGTTCCATCGGCTCCCGTTGGGTTCCGTTGGGATTCTTTCGATTCCATTGGGTTCCGTTTGGTTCCATCAGCTCCCGTTGGGTTCCTTTGGGTTCCGTTGCATTCCGTTGGGATTCTTTTGATTCCATTGGGTCCCATGGGGTTCCGTTTGGTTCCATCGGCTCCCGTTGGGTTCCTTTGGGTTTTGTTGGGTTCCGTTGGGATTCTTTTGATTCCATTGGGTCCCATTGGGTTCCATTTGGTTCCATCGGCTCTCGTTGGGTTCCTTTGGGTTCCGTTGCGTTCCGTTGGGATTCTTTCGATTCCATTGGGTCCCATTGGGTTCCGTTTGGTCCCATTGGCTCCCGTTGGGTTCCTTTGGGTTCCTTTGGCTCCCGTTGGGTTCTCTTGGTCCCCGTTGAGTTCCATTGGGTCCCATCGTGCCCCGTCACGCCCCCACCACCGCGCCGCGCCACTCACGCCCGTGCCCCACAGTCCTTTGGGTTCTCTTGGGTCCCATTGGGTTCCTTTGGGTTCTCTTGGGTCCCCTTGGGTTCTGTTGGGTTCCTTTTGGTTCCATTGGGTCCTCTTGTGTTCCTTTGGGCTCCGTTGGTTCCCTTTGGGTTCCTTTGGGTTCTCTTGGGTCCCATTGGGTTCCTTTGGGTTCTCTTGGGTCCCCTTGGGTTCTGTTGGGTTCCTTTTGGTTCCATTGGGTCCTCTTGTGTTCCTTTGGGCTCCGTTGGTTCCCTTTGGGTTCCTTTGGGTTCTCTTGGGTCCCATTGGGTTCCTTTGGGTTCCGTTGGGTTCTGTTGGGATTCTTTCGATTCCATTGGGTCCCATTGGGTTCCATTTGGTTCCATTGGCTCCCGTTTGGTTCCATTGGCTCCCGTTGGGTTCCGTTGGGATTCTTTCGATTCCATTGGGTTCCATTTGGTTCCATCGGCTCCCGTTGGGTTCCTTTGGCTCCCGTTGGGTTCTCTTGGTCCCCGTTGAGTTCCGTTGGGTCCCATCGTGCCGCGTCACGCCCCCACCACCGCGCCGCGCCGCTCACGCCCGTGCCCCACAGCGTACCTGCTGCTGGGGGTCACGGGCGTCCTGCTGCTGGCCCAGACCTTGCGCCACGTGGCCGAGCTCCACGGCGTCCCCGGCGCCGCGCCGGCACCGGACGGCGACGCCGACGGCGAGGAAGGGGCCGGCTTGTTGGAGGGGACGAGGGACGGGGCCAAAGAAGCCCGGGGGGGGCGCGACAGCGGGTAGCAACGGT